TTGAGTTAGGGCTTCAGTCTGTTTGATTATGTAACATTAAATATTGGTTTACACTTTGATGTTAGTAAACAGTCGCTTTTATTTAAGCTGGTATTGATTTCACTGCGGGTGGTTTTCCCGGCCAAGTTATTAAACCGTTTGCTCTGTATTTTGAAGGTTCTGCGATGGGTTCTTAAGAAAAGTTATTTCCCAGAATAATGAAAATTGTAGCTGGAGCGAAAGTCTTCGTGCTTTATTCGACGCTGTCCATGGGTGACTAACCTCACTGCTGAGTGAGACCAAGCCATCTATGATACAGCTTGATGAAGTCGGTCCTATTGCTTTTAGATATCTGTTTACGGTGTGAAGAGATCGCCACCTCGTATATATTCTATGAGAAGGTATCAAGCACAGTTGAACCCCAAATGCATGAACTCCTTAGCATCAGTAAAGATCCCATTGCTCTTTCACGAGAATCACGCATGTAATAAGATTATGGATGGGGTTTCTACGTTTGGACTATTCTGCAGGTTGGGTATTCGCCTTTAGGTTACGATTTCACCTGTCAAAGTTTAGTCATGGGGAGATAATCAGTCAACCAGCCAGCCAAGTAATTATTCCATAATCAGCCTCATTAAACCAGCTAAGTAAGCAATCTCAAATCCCAACCCCACGTCCGCCTCGTGAGAGGTGGAACAGGACAAAGTAGAAGATTACTAGGATTGAGCAAAGTATGGTGTGGCCTTGTCTCACGGGACCGCTACGGTAACCACAAAACCATCCTGGGTCACCCCGTAACGTCTTGGTCAACGGGGTTCTGGTTAAGTTGCGACAGACCTAGCAAGTCAGCAATGGATTTAATATCGCTACAACAAGAACAATTAGATATAAACGGACTGATCAAACGGCATTCGAAACATAAATTTAGTAACCATGGAAACCAGGTGTCTGAGAAAGGCTGTAGGAGTGACCAGAAGAGATAAAATCAGAAATGAAGTCATACGAGATAAATTCGGCACAGAACCAATTCTAAATTACATTGAAAGACAGCAAATCAAGTGGTTTGCCCACTTGCAGAGAATAACCTCTGATGTTATACCATTCAAGGCCTATACCAAAAGAGGAGAGGTACATAGAGCAATAGTTAGACCAAGAACAAGATTTAAGGATAACATCAGAGAAACTCTACAGTACTACGACGTGTCTTTGGTCGAAGCAGCAAGAAAAGCATGCTGCAGGGACCTTATATCTCCCTCGACACCCGAAGTGGTAAAAGAGGACTTAAATAATAAAAAGAAAAACTAAACAATCACCCGATTATTCCACAAAGAACCACACAGGCAATCAGTTAACCAGCCAAACGATCAGGTATAGGGGTTGCAAACGCTGTTCGTAATACCGGGGTGATGGGTTCGATCCCAGCAGCAGACGATGTGTCTTGCCCTGATTTCGACAGTGGTACCGAGAGCTGACCGTACAATCAGCAATGGCAAACTACCTCTGAAGCGATGCTTGTTGCTGAACTGAAAATAACAGCCTCCCCCCTCCTTTTTTTGCCCCTGCCTTTTTCATCATGCTTTGTGAACTTGGGATAACTTGTGGCTAGAGAGGGAGGTCGTGCATCTAAATTGTATCAGCCGCTTATCATCATCATCACCGCCATGATATCCATAATCTTGAGCAGCACTACCATCAGATCAGGGGAGAAAAGAGAGCAATAGAGGCTACTGTGCATATGGTGGTTACCCCACATTTTTATAAAGCAATCGTCACTATATAGGCCAAGTCAGTACACGTTGACCGTTATCAATCCACCAGTCGTCTCCTTGTGACATGCAATTTTTCGTTATTTAAAGCCCTACTCTGGCTCTTGCCAGGGGCCGCAATATAGCCCGGTTATAAATATGGTCTAACGGCTGAATGCGGTTTCTGGGACCTCTCCCCGGGTGATCCTTATCCACATGGTGGCACTTTCTGTCATAGGGTGTTTATCGCTTGTGTGATGTCCTGGTGGGATAGAAATCTCTTCTACTACTACATTGACCGCCCTTTTTTCCTAGAAAATGTTGTGCTAACCACTCTAGACTGGTCTACATCAAAGTCCAGGTAGACTTTATGGGATTTAAACAGAGAAACTCCAGGGCAAGTCTGCAGAAGTGCAAGTCCCTTCTGCTATCACTGATGATAACAAAGCTACCTCTCTCTCAAACTACCACATTTCACTCTCAGCGACAGTCTCTTATATCTATCTACAATTATTTATCTACCTAACATTTAGTCTAGATAACTCTCCCTTATTCGCGACCCGACGAATGTTCCTGATTGAATGCCAGGTCTCCTCCCACTCAATACACTGACCATCACATGTTCATGCCTCATTCTGTAAGCGCGCGATTCAGAAATCGGCGCCATCGAACCCAACACAAACTTGGCAGATTCTGTTTTCCGGAGCAAATATCAATATTTCTCCTTTTATTGTGATATAAATGTAGGAAACTGTCATTGCATTTGCTAGTTAAGAATGTGCATCTTTGATGCCAGGGATTTTGTTGTCTTACATTTGTTAAGGATAATCATACTTTCAGCAACACTGTCGTTGCTAACATTTACGTCCGGATCAACAGCTTCATCTAGTGAAAACAGATACTCACTGAAAGGTCTGAATAGTGAAAGCTACGCTGAACTGGGAGATATAAACATAGGGGCTTTCTTGAGTGTCACTACTTACCCTGTTGGGTTTATATGTAGTAAAGTTATACGTACGGAAATGTATATTTTACAGTATATGGAGGCTATTGCTTTTGCTGTTAGGTTAATTAATGATGATCAAACTTTGTTACCAAATATTACATTGGGATTTGTGATGCTGGATTACTGCAGAACTCCGAATACGGCACTCGCACAAGCCTTATCTTTTCTGCCGATAGATGTTGTGGAAACAGACAGCACAACGTGTGGGGTACCAACTCCCGGACCAAGTGACGACAACCCGACTCTAGTGGCTAGATCGAATTTTACATCGCTTCAAGAAACAACTTTAGGATCGACGGTGTCTTCTAACTCAGTGTCACAGTACGATGTGGTCGGAGTGTTAGGTCCACAAGGCAGCACTTCAACGGTTCCAGTGTCCATTCTGTTTTCTGTGGCACAGATCCCGATAGTCAGTTATATGGCAACCAGCGATGAACTCAGTTCCCCGCTTCTGCATCCGTATTTCTTACGAGTTGTGCCCCCTGACAAGCATCAGGTTGTCGCCATGTTGACTTTCATCACGGAAAAGGGTTGGTCTTATATTTCGGTAATTTATGGGGATAATTCTTACGGCGACCGAGCATACTATAACATCCGCCAACTATCACCAGAGTACGGTATCTGCATTGCTACAGCTCACAGTGTAGACCTCAAAACTAATTTCAACGACATTCTTGACAATCTTCTGAGGTATAAAAACGCCAGAGTAGTGATCCTCTTCATAGAAACGGATGCAACTTTAAAACTGATGGCTGCATGCGACCAGGCTGGAGTAAAGAACCACTTTATATGGATCGGGAGTGACTCCATTAGTGATAAAACCCTAGTGCGGGGCCAGTACTGGGATTACCTCCATGGCGCCTTTACGTTTATGTACTATTCACAGAGGGTTTCCCAGTTTGAGACGTATTTCTCAAAGTTACGCCCTGGTCAAACCACTAACCCTTGGTTTGACGCTTACTGGGAGTACCAAACCGGATGTCAGTTCGCAGAAGGCAATTGCCTGCTCCAGAGAAGCATTCAGAACTTTGAAGAGCTCAAAGTATCGTCTTCAGTATCTCTAGTTATTGACAGCGTGTTCACTTTTGGTTTTGCTATTCATAAACTCCTAAACGACATCTGTCCCAGCATTGTAGGACAGGAAGCTAGAGTTTGTATCAAAGGCGACCAACTTTTATCATACATGTTGAATTTAACGTTTCAAGGATTTACTGGCAAAATTGCGTTTGATGCCAATGGCGATTTAATTGGTAAGTACGAGATCCGCCAGATGTCCTATGATAATGAAAGTCTAGCAGACACAGACACAGACAGGAGAGGAAATTTATTGGAGATCCCTATTGCTTACTTTGAATCAAAAAGTGGCACGATTACATATACTGACCGGCCTATCTTTTGGAAGCATTTAAGCCTACCTTCGTCGGCTACTCAGCTGCCATCAGAAGAGACTAACGATGTGATCCCAGAATCTCTGTGCAGTAAGCCTTGTGCTGTGGGTGAGTTTAAGATACAGAAAGAGCTACCCTGCTGCTGGGAATGTCGCAAGTGTAGAGACAACGAAAGACTTGCCAACAAAAACACAAGCTGTGCTGCATGTTTTAAATTCACATGGCCTGATCCTAAAACTAATTTCACAACATGCACTCCAATTCCCTTGACATCCACATCTATCTCAGATACCTTTTCCATCATCGTAGTCTGTATTGCTGTTGTCGCCATAGTGAGCCAGGGACTCACAGTCGTAACTTACCTTTATTACCGAGAACATCGAGTGATCAAGGCAGCCAGCCGTGAACTCAGCATCCTACAGATGGTTGCCATCTTTGTTGGTTACGTGACCGTTATCTTACTGCAGATGACACCCACAAACTCTGTCTGTGCTGTGATTTACTTCATGTTCTGTCTCAGCTTCACCTGGCTGTACTCGCCGATGATCGTCAAGGCTGTGAGGATATACCGGATCTTCTCCAACAGCTCCAAGAGCAACAGACGGCCACGATTCGTCAGCCCCCAGTCTCAGTTAGTTATGGCTGGGCTTCTGATTGTCGTACAGGTTAGTATCAATAGATATTAACGTCAGAAAGCAGTCTAATGGAATTACAATTACTATTTAACGTTTCAGTATTCAAGTGTGTTATTCTCAGTTAGTTATATTTTGGCTAGAATTACCAGCCACAGTATCATAGCTTCCTGCCGGATCCCCAGTATCTAGTAAGCAGATCACTCCAGTGAACATCTATAGATATTCACAATGCCGCTCTTAAACAGTCTATCTCCATTGTAACATTTCTGACAGCGAAAATATTGTTCCAGTGATCAAACCAGCCGCATCTTTTTCTTGGCGTTTTCACTCTTGCATTGATCAATATTCAGCACATCTGTATTTTTTTTTCATGTTATGTACATTTATTATATTTGCTCCAGTTTTTACCGCTCCTTGTTATCTTTTTAGTTTCGTAAAGTAGCTCTTAATGTCCCTCCCCCTCACAATTGTATATTTATTATTACATGCTAATCTTGGCTGTTTGTTAATGTGATCGTGTCTCGGAGCTCCAACCTCATAGCAAAAAGGGCCATATCATAGTTGCTTCGTTCCTGTGCCAACGAAACCACACAGAATGTCAATCATTGTTCCTTATGTAACAGTGGGTACATTTTAAAGAGGGGGATAGAAGAGACGAAGATATATAAAAGTAGAGAGAGAGAGAGACAGACGAGAAGAAATTATAGTTAAAGGATGTATAAGAGGACAATAGGTTCTCCTATGTGGAGAGTGTAGTAATAAGTCTACACCCCAAACGATCAGGTAATAGTCAGTGGAGGTCTTATGAAGGAGAGAATAGTATAAGTATAGTGGTGTGGTGGTATAAAGACTACAGCAACTAGCAATAATAGTACCACTCCTAAACACAACAAACTAACGATTGAATAAAAGAATAAAAACTAACAATCATGTTTATTAAGAAACAGCATTACAAATCATCTATCTCATGTTACACAACCAGCAGATGTTATATTATATTATAAACAGAACGTCCTCACACTATAAAACTCAGCAACTGACAGCAGAATCTACTCTACTCAACGATAAACTAGCAAGTGACGCCTAGAATCTCCTTCATTGCTCTACACATAAAAAGCCAATTACCGACTACAATCTAGCCATCTGCTCTATTTCCAAATACTGACTACCACCTAGCCATACTGCTGATTGCTGTCTAGATACCATCTACCTATAGCCAAATACCAACTACCATCTGATATAGCTGACTGCAGTCCAAAGACCAGCTAACCTATAGCCAACCCAACACGACCATAACAGAAACTGCCATGTCACAAATCATCAAGCAATGTTTCATGCATATCTGGCAAGTTCCACAACAGAAGTATGGACTCAGCTCCATCGTAGCGACATCATCCGAATGCCCACAGCATCCTTCGTTGGCAGAGATCTCAGCGCAAGTGTCTCTGTCAGGGCGCCCTCGCAGTGTATATACCCCTGATGCTACTTGGTTCTACCTCTCTCCTTTGTACCTGAGTTCATGAACCTGTGTCTTCTTTGGTTCATTACCCTTTCTCTTTGTCGCCAAAGATGGTTTTCCAAGCCACTTTGCATAATTGGATGGAAAAACCCCAGGAAATCTTGTGTCGTTGCCTTTGTTCGTTGCCCTGCCTCTGTTAATTTACGAGTATATTGGCCTACAATAGTTCGTGTAATAGCTTGGCCTGTACCCACGTCTTTGTCGACTCTTGAGTCAATGCCCTCAGGGTTGTTATACTATGTAGCGACCTTCTTATTCTCAAGCGACTCTATACCTTCTTATTCCTCTGTGTTTCTTTGGTTCTATCTCCTTCTTGTAATATGCGTGACTGTAATCAGTACTGTCACACTAGTGATAATAACGAATTGATACAAATTGTAGATATACACACGCATACAGTGCATAAGGCAACCTTCAGAAGTGCTAACACAAACAATCAGACACTAGAAATGAAGTGCATTATCGTTGGAAGCAGCAGCCACAACAGATCAGCTGTTGCACACGCAGTTAATCACATAAAGCCCTTTAACGTAGTCTCTAAATAAAATCCACAGCTCAAAGTGTCGCGCCATGCACCTAACTCCTCGGAACTTCATCTTTTCAGTCTATATAGCGAGGAAAATGCAACGGCTAACTATTTTCATAAGCAAAAATGTGCTACGACTGAAAACAGTAAACCTGCCTAATCGGCATATTGATTGGAAGTCTTTTCTTATAAGTTGCTTTTATTAACAATAAAGGACCCTGTTAATCTAGCTAGTGGCTTATCGTGTGGGTTTCTGGGCCCCATTGTAGGGAAAACAAGAAAAGACCTCACTGCCTCCTCAACAAACATGTCGTAACAGTCGATTAATTGGGGGCGTCCTTTTAAGTCGAAATGCATCTTCCTGCATACAAATAAGTCAGATCTGTAGCAAGACCTGAGATAGCTGAAGAAGAATGAACAAAGTCGAGACATGGACGAACAACAAGAGCTTTTCGTCGAAGTTTACTGCCGGTGAATGCGAGGAAGACGAAGAAGAATGCCAGTGGCCAGACAACACTCAATAAGTCATGTCATCAAAACAATGTTGGCCATCTTTACTTACCAGAACATTTCCCGGCCCCCATTTAAGCCTGGGTCGACCTGGAACCCATCTCAAATATCAGATAAAAACCCCGACACGATGATCACTTGAACCCATAGAGTACCAAGCCTTCTAACCACCGTGCTAGCGAGGCTGACTGTACATTCCTTCTGTTATCAAATATTTATTAATTGTTGAATAGCTCACAGTACTTAATTTTTAATTCACCCGAAACAAGGTAAATGCCGGAGTTTCCTGTAAATTCCAATATTCTAGGGAGTTATGGGTTAGGGTAAGGATTGAGATCTTTGTCAACCCAGACTGCCTCAGAGACACAAACTAACCTTATCCCTAACCATATCTCTGACCTTAACCCCTAATCCCCTCCCCCATCCCCCACCCCCCCCCCCACTGCCAACTAGGGAGCTTCGGGATTACCTTTGTTTGGGGTGAATTTAAAAAAAAACCGAGCTCACTCTAGAAACAAATATTGTGAGTCATTCATAGCATCAGACTGCCGGGTACTCACTTCACAGAGCCGGGTACTCACTTCTCCTGGCAATCCAAAAGATCGCCGAAGTTTGAGATGCCTAGTCATGTGGATGTGGAGAGCAAGGGGAGACTTCCAAATGATATATATCACTCGAAACTTTAAACGAAAGCCGAAATAAATAATCTTAGAAAATCTGGACTAAGAAGTAAATAAACGTCGACATCCAGCTTGACCTGAATGAACATCAAGGAGAACTGGCTCATAAACACCATCCTCTCCGGAAAGCTGAGGTATTTTGGACATGGCAAGCGACATGGTGGCCTGGAGAGAACGTTGATGAAAGATGTAGTTTCCAACAGAGGTCGACAAATGCGAACGCAGATGCAGGACACTGAAGATGAATTATTGGCTATGAAAGCACACAGGGCTGAAGAATTGGCTAGAGAAAGATGGACTTGCAGTCGTGCCGTGAAGAAAGCGACGTTCTATAGAGAACATCTGATTGATTGAATAATTAATCATTCATGTGGATAGTCCCGGGTGGCAAATAGATAATAAATGCTTAAGAAGTGTGCACCAACAAAGTGGTATATTTAGACACTGATTAACGGTGCCCCTGCTTTACCACGTACTGGATCCAGTGTCCCTCCCAGAGATATAAACTGGCAGGCAGGTCTCGATTAAAAAAATATAAACAAGTTTAAAACATTTAGTTGAGAGGACACATTTCTTTCTCTTATTCTCCTCTCCTTTTTTCCCTTCCTCTCAGGCTCCTACCCCAAGTGTATCCCCCCCCCCCCAACCCCCACTCCTCTTCCTGCTCTTTTTCCTCTCCCTCCGTATCCACATTTTTCTTCTTTTTTGTTCACTCACCTTCCCTTTACAAGGACATAGACCCCTATCTAACTGACGCAACTCTTTTAGACACGTTCACTGTTGGGTGAATTTTGCGGTTACTTTTCACTGGGGTCAGGCAGATAGCGTCACGCCAATCATTTTTAGTACTACTTTCGATATTCACCGTAGTTAATATTCTTTGTTTTTCAGTTAAGCCCTGGTTTTAAAAAAAAACGTTTTGTCGGTGCTGCAAAGTATCGACCATATACTACTCTGGGGTACTGTATCCATCTGCATCCTCTTCAGATTGCTGTTAGATACATAAGGCATCCAAACTGATCTCTATTGCTGCAGGTCTGCTGTTTTTCTGTCTTTTGTATCCCAAATAATCTTTCATTTCCATTTCGACTGTCCTTCTCCAGGCTTCCTTGGGTCGTCGTCCAATCTTCCTTTTTGCATCTACAGCCCATTTAAGTCCTGCCAGTGCCAACGTATCCGGCAAGCATGTCCAAACCATCGTCATCTTCTGTCTCTGATAGCATTTGCCACGGATGAACATTTTGGTTTCCTCTTTAATTCTCTGTGTGTGATCTCACTAAAACTATTCGAAAGATGGGGGGCTGCGTGGTCTCGAGGCATGGTGTCCGCCTCGAGTGCTAGAGGTTCCGGGTTGAATCCCCGGTAAGGACTGGTATTTTTCACGTGGATTTGGACTTCTAGTAATTCCTTTTGGTATCTGGGTAGTGAGATCGGACGCCCGTGTGCATTGATGTGCACGTAAAAAAATCCCTTAACAGTTGGAGATGGAAAAGAGTAGCCTAACGGCACTGCCCGGGCAACATTTGGAGTTTTTAAAAATATATCCAAAGTATTTCAGGATCCTCGCCGGTGCCACAGAGCCTGTGCACTGTGCTGAGCTTCTTCGGACACAGACGAGTTAGAAGAAGAACAGAGCACTTATGGGTTACTACTCGTGTACCGTGATGTTGATCCGTTGTTAAAAACCTCAAACCTCGAAAGATGTTATTTTAACATTTATTCTAAGTCACTAGTTTTTCTAAAACGATGCTCTGATACAGTCTTGAGATATACTCTTCACTTTTCAAATTCCCCTTGTTTGTTTGATTCCTAGGGTGATTTTACTGCCTTTGCTTGTTCTCTGTAGTCCTATGCAATTAAAACCATTTTCTAGTGTCCTTTCCACCACATTTAATTTGTTGTTTCTACATACTATTGATGTCATGCTTTTACAGCATCCACTATTATTTCTGATGGCATTTAAAAAAAAAAAGTTTTCATTTCTTTCCCCCATTTTTCTCCGAAACGATAGTTACAAGATTCATCAATAGTGCCAATGGTCCACTAACGGACACAAATGAATATACAGCGTATATAAGAAATGACGATATTGATTACCCTAATTATGTTCCATAAATTCGAATCTAAAATCAGGTTGCATGATTACATGGTTTCCAAGCACACGTTTTATGACAGCCTAGGTACTTTGTTGTTAGTGTTATGTCGATACTGTCCTGTTTGTGTTAGAGACAGAGGGTCGTTATAGATGGCAAGCAATCTTAGTAATCAACTGTTGACATTAGCAGACGAGTACTTTACAATGGCGGGTTTCCCTCTTCCGGCCCATGGCTGGGGTTTTAATAATCATTAGGGTAGTGTGAATTTTACCGGAAAATTATTACTACCAACACTTTTATTATTATTTCCACTATTATTATTATTACTGTTATTTTTGTAAATGATGTTCTTATAACTATTATTATTATTACGACTACTAATATTAGTACTATTGTTATTACCATTTTTATTTTTACTATTATTGTTATTCCCATTATTATTAGTACTATTATTATTTCTTCTTTTGTTATTACCATTATTATTAGTATTTCTTTTTTTTGTTATTACTATTATTAATACAATTATTATTATTCACTTAAAAGCCTTACGCCTCTTGAGCCACCTCCCAGAAAATATGTAATGGTGGGCTGAGTCGCGCCCCTTTGAGCATCTCCAAGTTTTCTTAGTGTCGCCGCCCCTGGACAGGCTGTCTTATCCCACAGAAAACAAGCTGCAAAATGTAAGAATTCATGAACAAATTAGCAGATGGCTTAGTCTATAGCTGGTAAGACCCTGCATCCACTGGGAGAACGTAAGCAAACAAATGCTTGCCCCCCGCCGCTAAGAATATGTTGTACACTTACTCATACGCAGTGGGGAGTCGTAGGTTCGGGTCCTGACAGGGGCCGGCATTTTTTTTCTTTTAAAAAAAAATGACCTCGGCTCCTAGGTCGACCCAGCCATGGGTGGATACCAGGTACAGTTTTTGTAAATGAATGCGGCCGGTGTGCTGCTGACCACAGCACCCACCAAAGGCTGTTTGGTCTATAAAATATAGGTCTAGCCCTATATACCCAATACGACTGAAGGAATAAGAAAGGGTCTTTTACTTAACTTACTCATTCGTAGGGAAGCTGCCTGGTATGGTGGCTAAATTTCGTGGTGGCCTCTGGTCTGAAGGTTGTAGTTTCAAACCCCGCAGCATGCTGGGTGTTTTTTTTTGTTTCTAAAATCACATTGGCTTCCAAGTCTAACTAGCTTAAAATGGATCCCAGGTAAAGTCCTGGGAAGTAAAATCGGCCGGTGTGCTGTTGACCACGTCTCCAGCCCAGTGCTGATTGGTCAATCAATTTTAGATCTAGTATTGAATGCCGAATACGCCTGAAGACGTGTTGAAGCAAAGTGTTTAGATCTTAATATGTTTACTGGTCTTTATGTTTAAACCTAATCTCTATGTGTTTACTAACTAATGCATACACTGGCATTCTTTTGTCCTGTGTCTACTAATGCATGTGTTTGCTTTTTAAAGGCAAAACTGATGAGGAAAAAACTAAGCACGGAAAAGGCAAAGAGAAAAACCTTAGATAGTTAGGCCATATGGATTGTGACTAGACAAGAGCACTGAACTGATCCGTGGCTCTGGTTTTTTTTTTTTTTTTTTTTTTTTTTTGAGATTGTGAACCATGACAGCCTAAGCCTTTCATGCTGGTAATGTTACCATGGTGATGGTGACGACGATGATGTTGTTTTTTCAGGAAACGAAACAGTTGCATAGATGCATTATTTACACTAAGAAAAGTTTTGCAAAAAGCCATTGAATATGACGATGAACTGAATACTGTGTTTGCTGATCAAGGAAAAAAAAAGACTTCTAGTAGACTAGACAGAAACAAACGTTCATGAAGAGTATGGGATACACGGCCAGCTGCTAGATAACATCATGGCCAGGTACTCCACGTCCTAAAGCGCGATGAGAACACAAGAAGGCATATCTGATACGTTTACATGGGTGAGAAAGGAACTTGTGCTCTTTCCTCTATTGTTTACTATAGGTTAGTTGCGTATCCTTTACAGGACGTTGCAGAACCAACCCCAACAGCCCCTGGCTGTTGCGTGGGTTTTCTAGGCAAATTTAGGTCCAGTAGTTGGCCATTGCCCCCTGGACGGTCGGCTTTCTTGATACCATGTCGAAACCAACGCAAGGCGCATGGCCCGCAGCTGGGATCAAACCTGGCATCCCGGCATTACGAAGCGTTCGCATCGACTTTGCCACAGAGCAGACATTATTTACTTATACACATAGAAATAATTTTAAAAGAAGCCAGCTTTAAAGCAGTCAACCCAGAAAATCCAGAGCATGAGGAACTTTAATTTCCGGAGGAAGAATTAGATCCACACACAATAAACGAGCTACTGTTTGCAGACGATCTGTGCCTGTTCAACATTTGAGAGGAGTAGACTGAAGACCATTTAAACAGGCTAAGTTCAACACGCAGAAGATATAACTTGAAAAAAAAATAATTCTAAAACTGAAGTTGTGCAGGTCAGTATAATTCCTAATCCGCTACAAATAGCATTGATTGGTACCCGTCTCAAACAAGTTATAGAATATAAATATCTTGGAAGTATATTCTCAGAGCACGGGTGAATAGATCGGGAAAAAGAAACAAGATGCCAACGAGCCAGTGTACTTATATACTAACTGATACCGTTAATAACACATCCAAACATAAGCGTCAAGAAACAGATTATAAACAACAAATTCATACCAACACTGTGCTTGGATACTATCACATGCTTAACCTATATAAAATTAACACCTGTGATATGAGATACCTGAGAAAAGCCACCCAACTTAGCCATAAAGGACAAAGTTAGAAATGATGTTATCAGCAAATTCATTCAGAAACAGGAAATGAGATGGTTTGGTCATCTAGCAACAATGCAGCCAGAACAAATACCAACGCATACGTTACACATGGAGAGATCTGAAGTGAATTCACGAGGTCGCCCTATGAGAACATGGATTGATAACATTAAAGAGCTTCTCAATCGACACAGAATTACAATAGACATTGCCACCCACGGAATAATGGATCGAAAACTGTTGCTCCCCATAAGCTTGATGACAGAAGTGGAAATTAATGATGATGTTAATGATGATGACTAATACACGTGTTTACTTAATAATATGTTTACGCATACCCCGATAGTCCACGTGTTAACTGTTAATTTACAGTACATTACATACTGATCTATTTAATTATTTTTTTTTCCAGGTCTGTTTGTGCGTTGCCACTTACGTCCTGTACCGTCCAGCGGCCAAACTGACACAGCCCATCCAAGTGGAAAAATTCGTGGAACTGTCATGTGACATGACTCTCCCAGGTCTGGCCTCGTTTCTGACCTACAATTTATTTCTGGTGTCCTTGTGCTCTGTCTTAGCATTTAAAACCCGCAAACTGCCAGACAATTTCAACGAATCGCGGTTCACCTCCATGTGTGTGTCCACTACAATGGTCATCTGGCTCGCTTTTGTCCCCACCTACTTCACAGCCAGTCGGGAACACATTCGGGTTCTCTTGCTGTCAGCGGCGTTGCTGATAAACCATTCGGTGGCTCTGGTGTTTCTTTTCTGCCCTAAACTATACGCCGCTGTTTACGTCACTTCCGACACCGTGGCCGTCAGCAGATTTCACACCAACAACGGCTCATCTATGACGACACAAATTCCTGTAGTGTCCAACAGAGTAGCGCCAGCAAATGTGGACTCGTAGCTAGTTCTATCGTAATTATGTATTTTTACTTTCTAAAATAGTTCAAACCTTGTGGTGTTGGTGCTTCATTACTATCGACATAGTTCTGTTTCGTGTCGTTTCAATAATTTCTGACACATGATCTTCCATACCCTGATCTAAGACTGTCCAGTATCTTCGCTCTCGGTCTTCCCCTGCTTCTTCTTCTCTCAAACTGTTCCAGCATCACCACGTGTTCCGGTTTCCTTCTTCTCATGGTGTGACCAAATCATGTAGATTTTCTTCTTCACATGTGGGCAATCAGTTCTCTTCATTTTTCTCAAGACATCTTCACTACTCTCGTTATCTTCGCAGGTGTTCTCACAGTTCTTCTTGAAAACCATATCTGTGCATATTCCACATAACGTTTCACTAATCGGCTGTCTCTGAGTTGTTTCCGTATTTTAGGATTGGCTTTATTTATTTATTATGAAATCCTTTTCGTCTTCTTCTTCTTCTTCTTCTTCTTCTTCTTCTTCTTCTTCTTCTTCTTCTTCTTCTTCTTCTTCTTCTTCTTCTTCTTCTTCTTCTTCTTCTTCTTCTTCTTCTTCTTCTTCTTCTTCTTCTTCTTCTTCTTCTTCTTCTTCTTCTTCTTCTTCTTCTTCTTCTTCTTCTTCTTCTTCTTATTCTTCTTCTTCTTCTTCTTCTTCTTCTTCTTCTTCTTCTTCTTCCTCTTCTTCTTCTTCTTCTTCTTCTTCTTTGTCTTCTTCTTTGTCTTCTTTTTCTTTGTCTTCTTCTTCTTCTTCTTCTTCTTCTTCTTCTTCTTCTTCTTCTTCTTCTTCTTCTTCTTCTTCTTCTTCTTCTTCTTCTTCTTCTTCTTCTTCTTCTTCTTCTTCTTCTTTTCTTCTTCTTCTTCTTTTTCTTCTACTACTACTCCATATCGTGTGGTGTTGGTAGTCATGTCTATCTACAACCACTTGTCTCGTGTACTTGTAATCACCTCTGACGCAGATGATCCTCCATGCCATGATGTCAAACTATCCAGCAATCTTTTCTCTCGGTCTTAATCAGTATCTCCTTCCCTCCAACTTTCTAACCGTCACGATGTGTTCCAGTTTTCTCCTTCTCATCACATGACGAAAGAATGTAGATTGTCTCCCTCTTATGTGGGCAACAGTTTTGTTCTTGAGTCAGTTTCTTTCAAGACATCCTCATTGCTCTTTTTATCTGTCTAGGATAATCTCATCATTCGTTGATGAAACCACAAATCCGCAGCTTCCAAATACGTTCTCACTAATCTATCAACTGTCCATGATCCACTTCCATATATCAAGATGGGATCTGTATAGCTTTTAAAAATTCTCTTTCTCGTCTCATTTGACAAAGAAAGATCACATAAACTATTCTTCGTTTTTATAAAGTGTTTGTTAAAAAAAAAAAAAAAAAACTCTTTTTGACGTTTTCCCCACCTTATTATATATATGGGATATAGGAAGCCATTGTATCCACGATGCAGGCTGACATATCATATCTAAATTAGGAAAAAGGGGGTGGGGGGGGGGGGGGGAGAGAACGGTTAGGCCTATTTTAAGCAGCCTGAAAAAAAAAGTAATAGCATTTAGAAAGATAAATAACAGCTTTTAAAAGAGAGTACGCTGAGAGCAACTGAAAACATTACTTAACATAACATAACATAACATAACATAACATAACATAGCCCTTGAGCAGTTAGGATCGTGAAGGTGTATTGATGGAAGCACTAGGACATAAAACCCGGTATCCTCCTCTGTCTTCCGTTTGATGAATAAGTGTATGATAACTTAGTCCTGTCCATTTCTTGATGTTTTTCTATGCCCTCCTTTTCTTCGACTACCCCCAGTGTTCCTTGAAGCAGCACAGACTTTGCAATAGAATCATGTTTCATCGCATGCACAGATCAAGCTATAAAATGGATTAACTTATTCCTGATCAGAAATGGTGAAATAAATTGATATGACTGATTCATTAATGTTAAGGTTTGAGGGAGGACAGATCATGTTTCAGTGAATCAAGAGACGAGGAAAAGACGCTGGCATTGGATAGGGCACACATTGATAAAACCCGATAACAATATAATTAGAGTGCTCTTGCACAAGAACAGTCTGTGTTGCCGGATTAAAGACAGGCAAAGAAATACAATGGACAAGGGAATTAGAGAGTAAGGTGAAAAACATATGTGGAGGACATAGGTGAGCTAAAAGACGATTTGGCTTAAGTTAACTGACAGTACACTGGAAAAAAGGGGGGGGGGGGGGGTGCGGAGCAGAACAACCAGATACAACCAAGCTAGAGGGATAAGTGAAGCCATGCAAGGTTTCCAAAAGCTGTGGTATAAGTGGGAAAATAACATTACACAACAGAGGTACTGCTGCCTATAAGAGTAAAAATCAGCTCGAAAGGTATGTTGCACTGAAGTCAACATTGACTGTGAAAACGGCACTTGATTAATTGACTTATTTATTTTATTTATTAGTCATTATCCGTAATATATAACGTGGACAATATATTGCAGCTCTGTGTAATTGTCAAATGATTTTTTAAAATATTTATACTGTATTGTTATAAACATTTACATAGTTCATTCGCCTATGACTTCCCATAGGTTTCAACTCTTCACTGAACAAACCAAAAAAAAAAAAAAAGATAACAGAGCTCTGATTATCTTTGGTGCACATCAATGTGCATGTAAAAAGTGATGCCGCCATCTTTAAACTCGCATAATGGCATCACCGTTTCTATTTGTAATTTGAACTTTCGATCTGACAGCGTGAAGCTATTAAAGGCGGCTTTCGAAAGACTGGCAACTGTCACTACTGTCTGTTTTACCATACGTTTAGGGCGACGTAGATGATGCAGGTGGGGAGGGGTGACTATGAAATTAAGAATTTAGGCCCGCCTGGCTAATGCTGTCGCCACTGACTGTGCATGTTGGGATGTTTAACTTTTGCCCCCGATAGAAAAACTCCTTTTCTTTACCGAGGGTTGAACCCGGTTCTCCCGCATGAGATCCTGACGTTGTAACCACTTGGCCAGCTGCACCTCATACTCGAATCACACTGAGAAAACATTTAATTCATTTCTGAGACTCACATTATGTTTCACTCAGTATCAACCCAACCCATTTAAACATCTCAGAGGGTGATGGTTTTGACTTCAAACTGTTAACTTGTAAACGATCACAGTTCCGCGTCGTTTCTATAGTAACAGAGTGCTAGGCCTTGGTTCTTTCTGTGTGGAGTTCCGACATCGAAAGCTGTTACTGAGTGCTGGCTAAGAATATGTAATGACATAACTGATTATGCTGATCCTTCTAGATGAGTGGCTGAGTATATTAAATCTTTCTAAACAAAACACCCGAGCCCTTCTAATAGTGGCCTCGGGTTTATTTTTTTTTTTTGGGGGGGGGGGGGGGGGGGGGGGGGGGGGTGTGTTTTTGTTTCTTAGAAGTACACTTCTGGGGTCGAACCACTAACGTAACATTAAGTTTTTTGCGTATCATTTGCCAGACATTGCAGAATCAACTGCAGCGTTTTTTGGATGCTGTGGTTTTTTTCTAGGGAAAAAAAAGTCTAGTAGTTTGTCATTGCTTTCTGGACGGTCGTCTTCTCAATACCATTGTCGAAACCAACGCAAGGCGCAAGGTCCGCAGCTGGGTTCGAACCCGGTACCCCGGCATGACGAAGCACCTTGGTTCCGAATTTTAATTTCCTTTGTTTTTGTTTTTATATTTCACTGCCAATTAATGCCCCAATATTTGAGGAATTTGTCATAATATTAAAACCCTATACCGGCTGTTGTCGGTGGCCCTAATTTAACCTAAAGTTTAAACTTGGTTTCTCTGAATTGTGCCGGGGTGATTCTTACCTGTATGGTGGCACTTTGTGTCGCCGGGTGTTTATCACTCGTTTAACGGTTCTTGTGCGGTTGAACGCCACTCATTCAGGGGCGCTAATGCAACAATTTTGTTGTTGTAGTACATTTTTTCCCTCCTAAACTAAAGAAAAAGTACACGATCCTTTTCAACGCCTTTGTCGTATTGGGCATATAGGGCTAGACCTAAATTTTTAGATCATTCGCAACTTCGAAGGATGATATGGTCAAATTCACTCTGACCACATTTACTTCCCATGGCTGCATTTGGTACCCACTCAAGGTTTCGTCGACCTGAGAGCCAAGGTTTGTGTGTGTGTGTGTGTGTGTGTGTGTGTGTGTGAAAAGGACCGGTTCCGTTAGAACCAAAAATTGTATAATGATAAGCCTTGTTTAAATGTGTATTTGCAACAACAACACTATTATTGGTTTTATGTGCTAAATTGCAAAAAAATTATCATTTATTTGAAATAATATAAAATGTGAAAAGCCTCTAATTTTTGTTCTCTTCCTCTGTATGCTTCATTAAAGTGTTGCGGGAAAATATAAGGATCTTCGGTGAGCCCTTTCCGATCTGTTTTCTTTAATTTTTAACACTGTTGTTGATTGCTTCGTCTCATATTTCGTTTGGTCTCCCCCTTGTTCTGTGTCTATTATATTTCTTCAGCTTGGCTCTCTGTGACAGTTGATACCATGGCTTTCTCGTCAGATGGCCGAACCATCTCATCTGTTGCTCTTCAATTAAACTGTATGACTGGTTTCTTATATTGTCTTTGATTGATTTCTTTATTCTTAATTTTATCTCTTTTTATTACTTTTTTAAGGGACGCCATCTCTGGTGTCTGTATGCTAGGTTTGTGTCTTATTGCTAGGTGTGTGTCTTTTTGATAGGCCTGTGTCTATGTGCTAGGTTTGTGTCTATTTGTTAGATTAGTCTCAATTTGCTAGGTTTGTGTAAATTTGTAGGTTCTTGTCTGCTAGGTTTGTGTCTATTTGCAAAGTGTGTGTCTGTTGGCTAGGTTTGTGTCTATTTTCTAGGTTTATGTCTAGGTTTGTGTCTTTTTGATAGGCCTGTGTCTATTTGCTAGGTTTGTGTATATTTCCTAGGTTTCCATTTATTTGCTAGGTTTGAG